CGTCACTTGTCCTAGGGAAGGGAGTACTAACTACACATTTAGTTTGTTAGTAAAATTTAGTTTGCGAAAAAATAAATGTTAAAAAACAATGTCGAACCCCTTCCCCCCCTCATGGTCCCTGGGTCCTTGGTTACGCCCCGTACAAAGTTTTGTTAGAAGCAGTTGCATCAGAACCAGGTTACGTTTGTTTGATGATATTGAGTTTAATGTCAGATTTCTCACGGGGACAAACTTAAACCCTCCACTCCTAGCTCAGTCTTATATTCGGAAAACAAAACCTTCTCTTCAAAATTATTTAAACCCTCCACTCCTAGCTCAGTCTGATATTCGGAAAACAAAACCTTCTCTTCAAAATTATTTAAACCCCCCACTCCTAGCTCAGTCTTTTATTCGGAAAACAAAACCTTCTCTTCAAAATTATTTAAACCCTCCACTCCTAGCTCAATCTAATATTCGGAAAACAAAACCTTCTCTTCAAAATTATTTAAACCCTCCACTCCTAGCTTAGTCTTATCTAGGAAAATAAAACCTTCTCTTCAAAATTATTTAAACCCCCCACTCCTAGCTTAGTCGTATCTAGGAAAATAAACCTTCTCTTCAAAATTATTTAAACCCCCCACTCCTAGCTTAGTCTTATCTAGGAAAATAAAACTTTCTCTTCAAAATTATTTAAACCCCCCACTCCTAGCTCAGTCTTATCTAGGAAAATAAAACCTTCTCTTCAAAATTATTTAAACCCCCCACTCCTAGCTTAGTCTTATCTTGGAAAAAAACCTTCTCTTCAAAATTATTTAATTTTTTAAACCCCCCACTCCTAGCTTAGTCTTATCTAGGAAAATAAACCTTCTCTTCAAAATTATTGAAACCCCCCACTCCTAGCTTAGTCTTATCTAGGAAAATAAAACCTTCTCTTCAAAATTATTTAAACCCCCCACTCCTAGCTCAGTCTTATCTAGAAAAATAAACCTTCTCTTCAAAATTATTTAAACCCCCCACTCCTAGCTTAGTCTTATCCAGGAAAACAAAACCTTCTCTTCAAAATTATTTAAACCCCCCACTCCTAGCTCAGTCTTATCCAGGAAAACAAAACCTTCTCTTCAAAATGATTTGAAATTTTTGAAAATAAAGGAATTGAATTCTTGTCAAAATCTCTGATTTTCCAATCTCTGTATTTAGGTAACCCCATGTCGTAGACCTTAGATATTTCAAACTATTAATTCTGATAGATCAAATTATCTAAGTTTGAAATATCAAAGGTATAGACCATCAGGTTGCAAAGATATAGGGATTAGAAAATTTTAGTTTGTGGCAAAGAATCAATTCCTTTACAATGAAAGCTTTTCTTTTTGAGATAAACATTGTTTTCAAAACTTTTAAACTTATAATCGGACTTGTGTTTGATCCTCGTTATTTGGTAAAAATGCTTTCTTTTGCTGCATTTAGTTATATTTTATATTTATATTTAGAAATGTTCTTTGATCTTTGGGTCTTACTCAAGTCATTGTTTAATGCTTTAGTTTAGCTTAGACGGTTTCAGGTCTGGGTAAAGAAAACAAGGTTTAAAGGTTCATTGTGTGTGTTTGATTTTTAGGCAGTATTAAGTATAAAGTTATCCTGGACCTTTCATTTCTGGAGATCCTTATTCAAAAGTTATTGAAATATATATTTAAAAACTGAACAAAGAACAGATTTAGCTTGCTACGGAGTGAAATGGATTCAAAAAAAGAAATCAACTTTTTGGCCGTATTATTTGGTTGGCATTATTCCCATGTCTTCTTTTATTGGTTTAGAAAAGTTTTAAACCTAGTAAAAGGGATTGTCGGCGTTTTTTCAAGTATCAATTAAAAAAAATTGCAATCCCGACTCACAACACCCTTTATTTAGAAAATTGATTATTTTGAATTACGGTTCACTGATCTTGTGAATTTGAAGGATTTTGAAAGAAATAAAATTTTTTCAAAGACGGAAAAACAACGATATATCCCACTAAAGGGATAAAGGCATGCACCGTTTTATATCAATTGTCTCTTGAGATTTGTTTGACTGTCCCTTTAAACAATTATATTGTAAACTATACTGTTTACCTTGTCATCAGTCATACAGTAGATTCGGAGAGTATTAACCCAAGCTTTTGGAAACTTTTCTCTAGAAAACAGAATTATAAATAAATTGATTGATTAGCCATTCAACTAAAAAACTGTTTATAAAACTTTGAGATCGTCCAACAGATTATTACAAGTGAACCCTTAGTCGAATGATCGATTAATGATTCGTTTACATGATGATAAATGATCGTCCATTTCCCCGACCCTTATTCTAAGGATAGTGCTGTAAAAAATATCTGAAAGAAAGTGAAACAACTCGTCACTTGTCCTATTTAATTACTCCTTAGCGTCACTTGTCCAATTTAACAACTCTTTAGCGTCACTTGTCCTATTTAACAACTCCTTAGCGTCACTTGTCCTATTTGTGTAAATTGTGCTTTTGCCATACATCATAAACTCTCAAGTTTTAAAAGTTGTAAACATTAAAGTCAAAACTATATTTTATAAGAACATATTTGTAATTAGGATTGCAATATACGTGATTAGGTTTGCAATATTCGTAATTAGATTTGAAATATACGTGATTAGGTTTGCAATATTCGTAATTAGATTTGCAATATACGTAATTGGGTTTTTAATATTTGGGTATATATAAATACTGTACACTATACACAGGGGCGTAGATCCTATATGTCCAGGTATATATAAATACTTTGCAGTATACACAGGGGGGTAGATCCTATATATCCAGGTATATATAAATACTTTGCAGCAAGGTAGGGAACTGAACCAAATCACAATTCAAATTTTTTTTTTTAATAAACTGTTACCAAAGATTTACTATTAGATCTTTAACCTTAAAGAGAAAAAAATGAGCTTTTTAAATAAATAATATTCTGGATAACAAGTGAGCACTGATTAATTTTCAGCCTGGAGTAAATGTGGTATAAACTAGGACCTGGAGTAGAGGTGTAGTCTGAACTTATTTAAAATATGTTCTGGAGTAAAATTGCGGATCATGATAGCTACAACCCAGAGTAAAGGATAGGTTAAACTGGAACCTGGAGAAAAGTAGCGGTTAAGTAATATAAACTGGACCTGGATTAAAGGAGGTGTCAACTAAGATAAACTGGAACCTGGAGTAAAGGAGCGGTGGTAAACTAAGATAAACTGGAACCTGGAGTATAGGAGGGATTAACTTAAATAAACTGAACCTGGAGAACAGGAGGGATTAACTAAAATAATCTTAACCTGGAGTACAGGAGGGGTTAACTAAGATAAACTGGACCTGGAGTAAAGGATGGATTAACTAAGATAAACTGTACCTGGAGTAAAGGAGGGATTAACTAAGATAAACTGGACCTGGAGTAAAGGAGGGGTTAACTAAGATAAACTGAAACCTGGAGTATAGGAAAGGTTAACTGAGATAAACTGAAACCTGGAGTAAATGAGGGTTTAACTAAGATTAAACTGGAACCTGGCGTAAAGGAGGGGTTAACTAAGATAAACTGGAACCTGGTGTAAAGGAGAAGTTAACTGAGATAATCTGGAACCTGGAGCAAAGGAGTAGTTAACTGAGATAAACTGGAACCTGGAGTAAAGGAGGGGTTAGCTGACATAATCTGGAACCTGGAGTAAAAGAGGAGTTAACTAAGATAAAACTGGAACCTGGAGTATAAATAAACTGTAACATATAGAAAAGAATATGTACTTTAAAATAAACTGTAGTCTGCACGGGTAAAAAGAAATGCTGAGACAAGGAAAGAAAAATATGTTTATAAAACCATTCAACTGTTAAAATGGAAAAAAGGGGTAACTTTGAACCACAAAAACATGCTATAACTCGGTATAAGCAAAAACTCGAAGTGACTGAAAAACAATGAAACCCAGAGTAAAAGTGCTGAGCTGGTTTGAAAGCAAAACCTGCCGCAAATAGAGAAGTTTTGAAATCCCAGACATAGGAAGAAATTGTAAAGTCCAATGTGGAAGAATAAATATTGTAATTGCCTAATCTTGTCTCTTCGTAGAGTCTAGTAGCCAGAGTTAGCGCAGAACTGGGATCTCTGCAACAAAACTTTTAATAAAAATCAGGAATTACTTCAAACTTCAAATATAGAATCTATTTTATTGAAGGTAAAATCAGGAGAGCAGGATCAGATTCTGTACCTCGTATTATCATGTATCAGAAGTATCCAGAACAGTGCAGACACCTAGTTTATTAATCAATCAATCAATTAATTAATTAATTAACTCCTAAATCAATCGATTAGGAAAAGACATTGTAATGGAATTATTAAAAAAAAATATTTGAAGAAAATTTCTGTTTTAAATTAAGCAGAATGGAGTCTATGTTTATCTAATGTTAAATGGTTAAAGTGCAAGAACGGAGAGGAAAGGAAGGATCCCATTATTCCCTGAAGTACAGGTTCTAAAGAACATGATAAAGAGGGAAGATGGAGTTAGGTAGGATGGGGGAGGGGGGGGGTAGGGAGGTAGGATTGTAGGGAAAGAGAAGGGGGTGGGGAAGGCCTATGATTGATGAGTAAACTGTCCTTGGTAGAGAAATGAACAACATCCTTGTTCACTTCCAGGGGCGTAGATCCTATATATCCAGGTATATATAAATACTGTACACTATACACAGGGGGGTAGATCCTATATATCCAGGTATATATAAATACTGTACACTATACACAGGGGCGTAGATCCTATATATCCAGGTATAAATAAATACTGTACACTATACACAGGGGCGTAGATCCTATATGTCCAGGTATATATAAATACTTTGCAGTATACACAGGGGGGTAGATCCTAAATATCCAGGTATATGTAAATACTGTACACTATACACAGGGGCGTAGATCCTATATATCCAGGTATATGTAAATACTGTACACAGGGGGGTAGATCCTATATATCCATGTATATATAAATACTTTGCAGTATACACAGGGGGTAGATCCTATATATCCAGGTATATATAAATATTGTACAGTATACACAGGGGGTAGATCCTATATATCCAGGTATATGTAAATACTGTACACTATACACAGGGGTAGATCCTATATATCCAAGTATATATAAATACTGTACACTATACACAGGGGCGTAGATCCTATATATCCAGGTATATATAAATACTGTACACTATACACAGGGGTAGATCCTGTATATCCAGGTATATGTAAATACTTTTCAGTATATACAGGGGGGTAGATCCTATATATCCAGGTATACACAAATACTTTGCAGTATACACAGGGGCGTAGATCCTATATATCCAGGTATATATAAATACTTTGCAGTATACACAAGGGGTAGATCCTGTATATCCAGGTATATATAAATACTGTACACTATACACAGGGGGGTAGATCCTATATATCCATGTATATATAAATACTTTGCAGTATACACAATATAGATCCTATCTATCCAGGTATATGTAAATACTTAATAGTCATTATGAACGTTTAGGATTTAATCAATAAAAATATTGCTTAAGTGTATAGTTGAATATCTATATATTTCCTGTCATATCCACCCAGGAAACTGGATCCAAGCTTCCGGTTACAGAGCAGATCAATCTTAAACCATAATCTATAGTGAAACTAAGAAGAAGAAACAAACAATTAAAAGAAATCTTATTGTTGTGTTTAATTTATTGAAAATTACCAAAAACAGTTATTTTACACATTTTCCAGACTATTGAAAGAGAATAATTAAAAAATTTGGTTTGATAAAAACTATAAGATTGGATAAGTTTAGACAAAAGAAACCCAGCTTAAGATAAAATGACGATGAAAAACATTGAAAACTAAAATGTTAAAGAAAAGAATGAAACCTCTAAAGTTGAATCCCGAAGAATAGAAAGGAAGAAGCGGGGGCCAGGGACAAACTAGTTTTATTGTGACGTACTCTTTTTGAAAACAGAATATATAGGAGAATTATGCAAACTTCTAGATATCAGAGAATACTTTGTAAAACTTGAATATTTACACGCATATATGTAGATATTAGATATAAGCATAACAGACTGAACTAGACTAAATGAGAAGGTCAAATTTATGCAACATTACTAGTACGACTTTGGGACTTCGTAGATCCTGTTGTATTGATTAAACGTACAAGATATGAAAAAAAAGCTAGTTTTTGGTTACATTGAAACATTTGTTCTTCTGGATAGAAATTATGTAATTTTTCAATCAATTACGCAAAATTTTCATCTGATTGACGTTTATACTTTATAATATGTATATTTACCCGTCCAAAGATAAATATCGTATTTTAGAATCTTTTCGACTTAAATATAAAATTTATTTAAGTTAAAACTTTGAAAAAAAAACTTTTCAAAGAAAACTTTGAATTCTTTTCAGTTCGTAATCTGTTAAAAGAAGGCTTTTACCATTCATAATACGAATTTGTCAAATCTGTTGAATACAGATAAATATAATATATTCACCCATCCCACTATATAAACATAAAGTTGTCATTTGTTTGTTGTTGTATAGTGTTGTTGTTCAACATAGGTATAACCTGTTTCGTTTGTCGTTTTGTTGTTTACAGTTATTTGTTTTTTAGAACTTATTTTTTGTTGTTAACATTTGTTTGTTGTTGTAAACAATTATTTGCTGTTGCAAACAATTTTTTGTTGCTGTAAACAGTTGTTTGTTGTTGAAAACAGTTGTTTGTTGTTCAAAACAGTTGTTTCTTGTTGGAAACAGTTGTTTGCTGTTGTAAACAATTATTTGCTGTTGTAAACAATTGTTTGTTGCTGTAAGCAGTTGTTTGTTGTTGAAAACAGTTGTTTGTTGTTGAAAACATTTGTTTCTTGTTGTAAACAGTTGTTTGCTGTTGTAAACAGTTGTTTGCTGTTGTAAACAATTACCTTGCTATTGTAAACAGCTGTTTGTTGTAATCAACAGTTGTTTGTTCAAAACAGTTGTTTGTTAGTATAGTTGTGTGTTGAACAAATAAGGGGGGGTAGATAATAGGGCTTATTTTATTTTTTAATTTGACGCCGCGAATTAGGACTGCTTGCACCTAATTATATCAAACAAAGGTCGGTTTTTTTCCGGTTAAAACTTTTAGTTTATTTGACGGTCTTTAAACTTTCCCTAGGGTCACCTAGGTTGCCCTAGAAAATTTGGACCCGATCGGTTCAGCAGTTTGAACGTTTATTGAAAACAGACAGACAAGTAAAATATATTTTTGAATTAGGTTTGCAATATTCGTAACTAGGCTTGCAATATGCTTAAATATTCATGTGATAATATAAAACAGGCTTGCAATATTCGTAATCAAGTTTGGAATGTTCGTTATTAGGTTTGCAATGTTCGTTATTAGGTTCGCAATATTTTGACATAGGTTTTCAATATTCCTAATTAGGTTTGCAATATACTTGATTAGGTTTTCAATATTCGTAACTAGGCTAACAATATTTGTAATTGGGTTTTCAATATTCTTAATTGGGTTTTTAATATTCGTAATTCTAGGCTAGCAATATTTGTAATTAGGATTGCAATATACGTGATTAGGTTTGCAATATTCGTAATTAGATATAGGTTTTCAATATTCCTAATTAGGTTTGCAATATACTTGATTAGGTTTTCAATATTCGTAACTAGGCTAACAATATTTGTAATTGGGTTTTCAATATTCTTAATTGGGTTTTTAATATTCGTAATTCTAGGCTAGCAATATTTGTAATTAGGATTGCAATATACGTGATTAGGTTTGCAATATTCGTAATTAGATTTGCAATATACGTGATTAGGTTTGCAATATTCGTAATTAGATTTGCAATATTCGTAATTGGGTTTTTAATATTTGCGTATATGTTTCTTGCGACATTCTGAAATAAGCTTGCAGTATTTGCGTATATATTTTCAAAATTCTAGAATAAGCTTTTAAAAATCGTTATCAGGTTAGCAATATTATGAAATATTCTTGCAATATTCGTATATATGATTGCTATATTCTGAACAAGGCTTGCAATGTTTGCGTATATGTTTGCAAAATTCTAAAATAATATTGCAATAATCGTAATCAGGTTTGCGATATTCTAAAAAAAGCGAGAAAGGTTCGTCATCAGGTTTGCAATATTCTGTAATGTTCTTGCAATATTCATAAACACGTTTGGGATATTCTGAAATAGGCTTGCAATATTCGTAATTCGGCTTGCAATATTCGTATACTAATGATCTAAATGTTTTCATGTCTAATTCTATTTTACATATTTACATATTTCATATTTTTTAAGATTGAATTACAGAATTAGAAAGAATTTGCAAAATTGTAATAAGAAAATTCGCAATTTCAAGTTCATGGACTAATTTTTAAGGAAAGGTTCTTTAAATCCTCTAGTTCCTTTCTCCTTAGTATATTCTAAATTTATAAATACTCGCTGTTCAAATGAAAAACGAAATTTTCTTTAAAAATTTGACCAGAACTGAAAATTGCGAATTTTCTTGAAACAATTTTGCAAATTTTCTGTGATTCTGTTTTTTAATATTTACAAAATTTTAGAATTTGAAAGAAATAGTATTATATACTTATTTTTGCTTTTCTGAACTTTAGATTTTGAGAGAGGAAAAAGTTTTGCTGAATTTATTTTGGGCCATTCGAGTACCAAAAAAAAATTCCAAAAAATATTGAAAAAATAACCTACAGGAGAAGGAGAGTTGCAAAAAAAGTACATCTTTGTACCAGACACCGCAAATCACACTTTTTTGTATATATAAATGTTTTCAATATTTGAGTATACTTATTACATACATATATATTTACAATAATGCAGATATATTTGAAATAGGAATCCACAGGAGTGTATAGGGATTCAACTTTGAGATAAGACGAAAGTAAACTATATATTGGTTCTTTATTGAGACCAAAGTTGCACAACTACAGTTCCAATAACCTCATATAATATTCAATGGGATATGAACTGGTCTAGTTGTAAAGTCATAAAATTGCATGTTTAATCGCAAATACAAATACAGGAGTTGTTTTAACAGCAAAATTCCTATATCTTTGCAACCCAATGTAGTGGTAGGTACATATGGAATGTCAAACTATATGTAGTCTGTTAGATCAAAAAGTCTGAGTTTGAAATAATGATTAGAAAATGTGTGTTTGTTGCAAAAACTCAATATCTTTATCTGTATAGCAACATATTAACATATTTATCAAAAATAAACTAAAGTGAATCTTTTTCAGCCAGTTTGCTTTTCTAACTTTTAGGTTTTACAAGGCGAGCAAAGTTAAAATATTTTTCTGGGCCGATAAAAGCCAAGATCAATTGTTTAGATTGAATATTTAAAACATAATAAGAAAATAAAAATAGACTTCGGATATTGAATTTTCATGAATATCTAGTATTGTCTTCATTTGGTCCTTGACTTCTGGTTCTTATTTGATTAAATTGAACATGGTTTCCCTGATATCTGTCGAGGAATTAATCTTGCTCCCGGAGCAGGGGAGAGGGATGGAAACAAAGAAAGGTTGATGAAACTTTCGTTTCCTAAAGCAAGCAGAAAAGTATAAAAGTTAAAGTTTCTAACAAAACTTATTTTAATTTTGAAAATTTATTAAAATCTTAAAATCTTTAGATGTTAGATATTCTGCTTTTATTTCCTGGGTTCAACTGCAACTATTTTGCTGACCTCGACAGATCTACCAAACGCTGCTTGAACCAACTCACTAGATAAGGTCTGTACCTGGAGATATATAAACCTTAGAAACAGATAAGGTCTGTACCTGGAGATATATAAACCTTAGAAGAAAAGATCTTTTCTTGTAGATATTTAAAACTTTTTAAAAACCATTTAACAACTCATAATGATATATAAACCTTAGAAAAGAAAAGGTCTACACTTCGATATTTTTAAACCTTGGAAAGAAGAAGAAAAAGAAGAAGAAGAAAAAATCAAAAGACGAAATAGAAAATCGCAAAGAAAAAGAAAACAAGAAAAAAACTTACCTGGAGCCCAACTTTAATCTTCTTATGAAGCGCGTGTTTTGGAAAAGTTGCTCTGCATCTTGTGTCATGTATCAGACTCACTTTGCCCCCATCAGGACCCATACTTTTTACCTTCACGTAAATATAACATTAAAAAAAATAGAAAAAGGGGTTTTGACCTCCTCCTCTCTTATACTGGCGATCATAGCAAAGTTTAAATAATGACCTCCTCTCTAATCCTGGTGATAATAGCAAAGTATAAATAATGAACTCCACTCTTATCCTGGTGATAATAGCAAAGTATAAATAATGAACTCCTCTCTAATCCTGGTGATAATAGCAAAGTATAAATAATGAACTCCTCTCTAATCCTGGTGATAATAGCAAAGTATAAATAATGAACTCCTCTCTAATCCTGGTGATAATAGCAAAGTATGAATACTGACCTCCTCTCTAATCCTGGTGATTATAGCAAAGTATGAATACTGACCTCCTCTCTAATCCTAGTGATTATAGTAAAGTATGAATACTGACCTCCTCTCTAATCCTGGTGATTATAGCAAAGTATGAATACTGACCTCCTCTCTAATCCTAGTGATTATAGTAAAGTATGAATACTGACCTCCTCTCTAATCCTGGTGATTATAGCAAAGTATGAATACTGACCTCCTCTCTAATCCTAGTGATTATAGTAAAGTATGAATACTGACCTCCTCTCTAATCCTGGTGATTATAGCAAAGTATGAATACTGACCTCCTCTCTAATCCTAGTGATTATAGTAAAGTATGAATACTGACCTCCTCTCTAATCCTGGTGATTATAGCAAAGTATGAATACTGACCTCCTCTCTAATCCTAGTGATTATAGTAATGTATGAATACTGACCTCCTCTCTAATCCTGGTGATTATAGCAAAGTATGAATACTGACCTCCTCTCTAATCCTAGTGATTATAGTAATGTATGAATACTGACCTCCTCTCTAATCCTGGTGATTATAGCAAAGTATGAATACTGACCTCCTTTCTAAACCTAGTGATTATAGTAATGTATGAATACTGACCTCCGCTCTAATCCTGGTGATTATAGCAAAGTATGAATACTGACCTCCGCTCTAATCCTGGTGATTATAGCAAAGTATTTAGGAAAAAGAGAAGTTAAAACTCTAACAACACGTCCTCGATCCACCTCCAGAGCATCATAGATCCTCTCCAGACCAAAGTCATCAACCACAACAGAACCAACAACATCCTTAACAATGTATACATCAACAACAATAGATCCAACAACATTATTAACATTGTATACATTAACAACAACAGAATCAACAACATCATTAACATTGTACACATTAACAACTTCAGAACCAACATCATTATTAACATTGTATTCATTAACAGCAACAGAACCAACAACATTATTAACATTTTATACATTAACAACAACAGAACCAACAATATCATTAACATTGTATACATTAACAACATCAAAACCAATATCACTATTAACATTGTATACATTAACAACGACAGAACCAACAGCATTATCAATATTGTTTACATTAACAACAACAGAACCAACAACATCATTAACATTGTATACATTAACAACAACAGAACCAACAACATCATTAACATTGATTCATTAACAACATCAAAACCAACAAAATTATTAACATTTTAAACATTAACAACATCAGAACCAACAACATTATTAACATTTTAAACATTAACAACAACAGAATCAACAACATTTTTAAAACTTACTATAAATTAACAAAAAGACTCATATCCTTAAAAAACATATTGATATTTAAAAAAATGAATGCAATAATACAATATAGTGCTGTTCTTTAATTTCACATTTATTTTAAAGAATAGGGATGATTTTATGAAAACTAAATATATTTAAACTACTTTCAATAAAAGGTTTGGATTATTTCGTTTGGCATAATTATCTCTGCAATAAAATTTAATTTCAAAGAGAATTAAATCCAAAGTTCTCTCAATTCAAATTTCATCAATTTAATTAAAGAAAATTTTAGGAAAGTAAACAGAAAACATGGCATCAGAAACTTTTAGTAAAAATATATATTTAAAACACTAATTGTGGTATTGAAAAATGTACAGGGTTATCCACTAATGATTTAGAGAATTTATTTAGACTTTTTTGTTACATTCCTTGTACCCTTTATGGAGCTGTACGCTTGTTTTTTTATTTACCGAACTATGAAGCAAAACCATCACAAGACAAGTTTTATAACTAAAATATACAGATGAACAATCTAAACCTTCAGATATATCCAAAGTGATTAAAAATACTAAATTGGGCCAAACTCATAGATGAATGACGACATTA